GGCAGCTATCCACTGGGAGGCCCAGGGTCCCGAGGTCACCTCAGCGTAAGTGCGAGGGGTCGGGATGTCGAAAGCGTCTGGGTCAACCTCAGGGACTAGCAGCATGGAACACAGATGGGGAGCAGCCTCGGACAGGGAAGCAAGCTCGAACTGGCGGTCCTCCATGACATCACTGCCGAGGGCAGGAGCACCCCCGACAGACAGAGGACAGGCAGGGTCAGAGACCAGAGCGGTGGCATAGTCAAGGCGGCGGGTAGAGGCGAAGTCAGCGACCGCAGCGACAAGAGCGTCAAGACACGAGACCGGAACAGACGGGTCGGTAACGAGAGTGGCAAGGACCCGAGGAACGAGAGGACGGGCGGCACGAAGGTAGTCAGACAGAGGGGGGGGAGCAACGACAAGGGAAGACGGAGGAGGGGACGGGAGAAGGGGAGGACGAGACGCGTGGGAACGAAGCAACATAGGGTGAGAGCGGGGGACAGGGGAGACAGGACGAGCACGGGAGGGACGGTGAGACCAGACGTGAGACGCAGGAGTCAGGTCCGGAGACAGAGGAGGGGACACAAGGGGAGAGCGAGGGGGAAGACGAGCCGGAGACGAGTCCGGCGGAGGGAACACAGGGCCGTACACGGGGAGAGGAGGAGACAGAAGGAGAGGAACGGACGCAGGGTCAGGGGACGGAAGGCCGAGCAGGCGAAGGGCAGACACTGGCGGGGACTGCTGCTGCAGGGGTACAACGCCGACACCGGGACCGCAAGCTGCTCCGCGGCTACCACCGACAGACTCCACTCTCGCACCCCCAGAAGGAAACCCTCAGGGCCCGAAACTCCTCGAGCCCCGGCACCACCCCCAGGGCCACCGGGGCGAGAGCCCACTCCAAAGCCGACACTCCCTGGGGCAACAAACGGCTGCTGCGACGGCGGCGGCGGCTGCGGAGACGACGTCGGCTGCAGAGGCGACGCCGGCTGTAGAGGCGGTGGAAGAGGAGACGCCGGGGGAGGGGCAGATGGCGAGGACTGCGCCGCAGGACCACTAGAGTCAGAAGACTCCTCAACCGGGACAACCGACGGGAGAGGGGTGACGTGGGACACACCAGAGGGGGCAGGACGGGGAGGGGGAGGGGGGGGGCAGGGACCACAGGGGAAGGAGGGGCCAAGAACAGGGGGGGGGTAACCGGGGGACCACGGTGGGGGAAGTGACGGAAAAAGGAGATGGACTCGTCAAAGGTGACGTCGCGAGAGTGAAAGAAGCGGTGAGACTGCGGGTTGTAGAAGTGCCAGTCGGACGCGTCAAGGGGAAAACCTAGGAAGACGCAGGGAAGGGAGCGGGCAGTGAGCTTGTCCGTGCCAGAGGCACGAACGTGAGCAAGGCAACCCCAGACGTGGAACGCAGACGCGCCACCAGGAGACCCGGTCCAAAGACGGGTCGGCGAAACCTGCGGGCGCTGGGGGTGCGGCCACAGGTTAAGCTGGTGAGCATCGTAGCGCACGGCGAACGGCCACAGAAAATGGGGAGCACCGGCATGGATCATGGAGGTGCGAGCAACCTCCATGACCAAGCCGATGCGTCGCTCAGCGACCCCATTCTGCTGTGGGGAGTCCGGCAGGGTGAACGTCTGGATGATGCCCTCCGCACGACTGAAGCGACCAAGGACACCTGAGGCAAACTCGCCACCACGGTCTGAGTGAAGGCGCAAGATAGGGAGACCTCGGTGGACACGCGCAGAGACAAGCCAGGGGATGAGAGCGTCAGGCACGTCGGCCTTCCGCTCCAGGGGAAAGACTGTGGTGTAGCGAGTGAAGTCATCGACAAGCACGAGGAAGTAGCGCTCTCGACGCGGCCCATGGATGGGGGCGGGGCCCCAGACGTCCATGTGCAGGGTATGCAGCGGCGCGGCGGTAGGGGGAAACGAGGAGGAGTGGGAGGCACGGCGAAGCCAACCCTCAACACAAGGAGTGCAAGGCGGGGCGGGGGAGGAGGGAAAAGGGGGGAGGGAACCAGGGAGACCAAGGACGAGACCGTGCTGGGACATGTAACGCAGACGCGGGAGCGCAGGGTGACCTAGACGGTGGTGCCAAAGGAGAGTCGGATGAGTGAGAGAGCGACAGGAGCAGGCAGCAGCAACCTGGGAAGACGCAGCCACCTGGAGGGGCTACCCAGCCGGGGGGGTCACGGTGTCCAGGGTGAACAGGCCGGACACCGGGTCCCGGGGGAACGTAGACAAAGGGGCACCTGTGGCAGCCTCGGTACAGACAGCATATCGCTTGTGACCAGGGAACGTAGTGGTGACGCCAAGGTCCTGGAGGCAGCCGACACCTACTAGGTTCCTGGAGAACGAGGGGATATGCAGACCTGGGAGAGAGCCCGAAGGAACTGCCAGACAGGGAAGGGTGGTGGAACTGCGGGCGACTACCGGACCGCCGGAGGGGTCAGCAAGAGAAACAGCGGCAGGAACAGGAAACGGTGTCAGTGTCGTGATGTCGCGGAAGAAGCACCGGGAAGCGCCAGAGTCCAAGGTGAAGGAAAGCGAAGCAGTGGCGTCCGGCGACGGGGCAACGGCGGAGGCACCAAGGCTAAACAAAGCAGGGGCTTCTACGCCTGACGCAGCAGGGAAGGCTAAGCTAGGCCTACCGACACTAGACGACAATGAGTAATAAGCGGGAATCACACTCGAGTCATCAGCATACATCACATGCAGAGCAGAAACTATAGCATCCATGTCCAAGTCAAAAATCGGAAGGTCTGTGCCAGTCCGGGAGGTCTGGCAAGCTGTGCCAGTCCGGGAGGTCTGGCGACGGGCCGAAGCGCTGACGAAACAAGTCGTCCAGGCGACAAAAGCAGCGAGGAGTGGTATGACCGGTCTTACCGCAAACGAAGCCGCGGCGAGGACTGGTCTAGATCTGGTACTGGCAACGCACGCCTCCCGAACCACCACTCGGTACACCACCACGCGCACGACCACCTCCAGCTCCACGCCACCCGGGAGGGAGGACACTCGCCTGCTTCGTCTGCGGCGGCTGCTGCGACGGCTGCTGCGACTGTGGAGGCGGCGGCTCAGCTGGACCGGGCAGGGTCCCCTCGTTCGCTCCAGCACCAGAAGACCCGACTCCACCACCACCCCCACCTGCACCCCCTCCTCCGCCGCCGCGCCCAGCCTTGGGGCGACGGCCCTTCCCCGGACGGAACTGCACGGCAGCAGCAGTCTCAGCCACAGCGGCAGAACCGTCGGAGAAGGTACACTGAGCGGGGGCACAACCCTGAAAGATAGGGACCGGCACAATACCTCTCGCCTGGGCGATGGAGCGGTGGCGGGTCTCTATAACAGTCAGGGTGTCTACAAAGTCGGTGAGGGTGAGCTCACCGGGGTGGATACTAAGGAAGCGGTCGCGGGCGGCGGCAAGGCGGTCAGGGAGGCGGGTGGCAAGCAGGTAGAGGGTAGAGGTAATGGGCGGCTGGTGGGCTCTAAGCTGTGCGTCAGTGCAGGCTGCGCGCCAGGTCTCATCTATCGTGCGCAGGTGGGCAGCCAAGTCAGCGACAGTGGGGAAGGACGCAAGATCAGGAAAGAGCAGCGGGAGGATCAGGCGACCCACCGAGGCAGCAGGAGGGGTGGAATAGCGCTGGAGGACAGCATCTAAGTAAGCCTGGGCGGTAGTGAGGGACCTAAAGCGAGGGCGCTCAGACGGGGGAAGGGCATTGCTAATGGCAAGCTGGGCGACAGCGTCTCGGGAAAGCCAGACAGAGCGCGCAAGGGCAGCGGCTGCAGCAGACTCGCGCTCAGCGGGTGTGGGGTCAGCGGGCAGCACAGCAGGGGGGTCTGGGCAGGGGAGCATACCGTCAAGGTGTGCAGAAGCGGGTGGCCATCCTGCCTCTGGCCAGTGAGGTGGCGACGGAGGTCAGCGAGCCACGCCTCGAACTCCAGAGGCTGGCCTTCCGCGTCGAAGCGAAGCTCCGCCGCCATCAGGAGCAGTGCAGGACTGTACAGTGCGATACAAGGCAATGCAGTGCGGTGAAGTGCGTTGCAGCGCGGTGCAGTGCGGTGCAGGGCGGTGCAGGGCGGTGCAGTGCGGTACCGTGCGGTGCAGTGCGGTGCCGTACAGTATAGTGCGGTACAGCTGATGGGAACCGTACCAGGGAGGGTGCAGGGCCGGAGCAGGCACGACGAGCTGGTCGCACACAGCTCGGGGCAGGACGGGCGCGGGGGCCAGTTGGGACAGGTGCGGGGCAGGCCGGGACGGGTGTGGGGCCGGCGGGGACGAGCGCGGGGCCGGCTGGGACGGGCGCGGGCCTGCTGGAACGGGCGCGGGTCGGCTGTTACGGGCGCGGGGCCAGCTGGGACGAGCGCGGGTCGGCTGGGACGGGCGCCGGTCGGCTGGGACGGGCGCGGGGCCGGCTGGGACGGGCGCGGGGCCTGCTGGGACGGGCGCGGGCCGGCTGGGACGGGCGCAGGGGCCGAGCGGTAGCGCGGGGGCCGCTAGGGCAAGCGCAGTGGCCGCTAGGGCGGGCGCGAGGGCGGGCACGAGGGGCCGCTAGGGCGAGCGCGGGGAGGCCGCTAGGGCGGGCGCTAGGGCGGGCACGAGGGGCCGCTAGGGCGGGCGCTAGGGCGGGCACGAGGGGCCGGCTAGGACGGGCGCTAGGGCGGGCACGGGCGAAGGGGCCGCTAGGGCGGGTGTGGAGGCCGCTAGGGCGGGCGCTAGGGCGGGCACGAGGGGCCGCTAGGGCGGGCGCTAGGACGGGCACGAGGGGGCGCTAGGGCTGGGCGCTAGGCCGGCTAGGACGGGCGCTAGGGCCGAGGGGAGGTGGCACGCAGGGCGCGACTAGGGCGGGCTCGGCTAGGGCGGGCGCGACTAGGGCGGGGAGGTCCTAGAGCGGAAGCGTGGGTGAGCGGGATCTACCTACTGCTGATACCATCTTAGAAACTGAAAGAATAATTAGAGAGAGAGAGAGAGTACAGGAATATATCTAAGTGTTGTACCCTCTAAGGGATGACCCTATACAGTCTATGCAAAGTATAAGAGGTACACATGTTTGACAGGTTCAGCTTGAGCCAGCTTGGCCAACTCAGTCAGTTCAGCGATTGCTTCCCTGTAACAGGTGCTAAAGATGATGCATCTTGAGCTGAACTGACTTGCAACCTGCCGGTCGGGCTTTAACAAGCTCTTTTAACTCTCTGGTTGGTTAGTGGCTGAGTTCTGACATGTGGAACTGACCTGGCAGAAGGTAAGGTACAGTAGGAAACAGGGAGCCTACAGGAAACATGCAGGTGATCTTGAAACCAAACCCAAGCAGCAGAGCATTTACCAATACCCAAGGGATTTTGAACATCAGGTGAGCACAATGAAGGAACCGGCAAGAGTCACAAAAAGGGGATACGGCGGTGTCGTGGTGCCCTGGTTAGTTACTGTGCTTGGGCGCTTGACCTATGATGAGCCCACCCACCTGGATGCAGCGCCAGCAAGAGGCACAGGAAGGGGAGAAAGGGAGGCCATAGGGAGGAAAGAGTGAGGAAAGGAAATGGGGGGGAGAGAGTTAGAGAACGGGTGATGCATGCAGTGTGCAATGTGCCGCCAAGCTATTGTGTGCAGAATTGGAGCACGTGAACGGCAACAGCAGCAGGGGCAGCACCACCACCAACTTTCTCTGCCCTGTTCAGTTGACTTTCTCTGCCCTGTTCAGGGGCAGCAGGGGCAGTAACGCTGACTGACAGCAAGCAACCAAGGGCTCTTGGCCTCACCTGGGGGTCGGCCCTTGGTGCCACCTTCTCTGCGTATTTCTCTGCCTCTCCACTCTCCCTCCATCTCCTCATCGCCTCCTGCTCACGACCAAGTGTCCATGCCATGCCGTGCCATGTCATGCCATGCCATGACATGACATGACATGCCATAACATGCCATGACATGCCATGCCATGGCATGCGTAGGATGCAACACTATTGGCAAAGGCTGAGCCCACTATTAGAAGAATGGAGATACTGACATTAAGCTGTTTCCCTGAAGCTTCTCGTTACCAGCTACTGCCTGACGCCTCTCCCCAACCTCTCCCCCTCCACCGTCCCTCAATACCCCCTCCCGCGTCAAACCTCTCCCCCCCTACCTCCCCCTCCCCCTCACCCTTCACCTCCCCCTCACCTCGCGCTCGCGTTGCTTCTCCCACTCGGGGCGCACCCAGAGGAAGTAAGCCGCCGTGCCCGCCACCACCCACGCCGCCGCGTTCTGCCGCCCTCGCACGCCGCCCAGCGTGTTCCGCAGAATCTCCGCCGCTCGACCGCTCACGGTGCCGCGGGCCATGGGCGGAAGGAGGGCGCAATACACGGATCGAGGCGAAGAAGGGGGAAAGGCGGGGGAAACCGGCGGAAGAACGGCCGGAGAAGGAGGCAGGAGGGGGAGTGGTGCACCAGCGACCGCAGGAATGCAGGGCAGGGGCGCACAAGTAGGGTGGGTTAGAGCGAAGGGCTTGACGCGACAGTTGAGGGCGCCAGGACCGGTGGCGCGTAACTCACGTAAAGCGACAGCGCATGAGAAGTGTTGACACGTTGGCGAATTTGCCAGTCACATATACTTTAAATATCCTCGACAAAAGCACCTGAATTCCTCCTCGTGGCGCGTAAAAACGTATACACTAAAAGCAATATATAAGGAGCCACACAATAACCATATGCATTCGTTTTGATGAAAATTGATGCAAATTCTTAGAACCTGGTTACACATGCAAGATGGAACTGGTTACACATACAAGGCTGCAGGACTGTCAGCCGGTAATGAAACTCGGCTCAGATGGAATATTTTTTGCCTTCTCCTTGGTTTTGGTAGTGTTAGAATACTAGAATGAATAGAAACAAGAGAGAACAAGCAAGATATAGGGTTGGATTGTACTCTCTAAGAACATACACTTTTTCGAGCCTATAACTTCTCCATACAAATGTATGTATAAGTTGACACACCTCTGGGCTAGATAAGGGGTACTGCTGAGCAAGAAGCACACAGCTCAGGGTGACACTATTATTCCAACCTCTCAGACAAAGGTTCGAAGACTAGTCAGCAAGAGTACAAACAAGACAGGAGCAAACCAGGGCGGCACTACTAGTCCGGCCACTGGAAGAGGAGTCACAAGACCAGTCTGAAAGATATATATAAAGAGGGGTACACAATCAAGGTCCTAGCAAGTGAGAGTCTACAAGAACTAGACCAAGCTGCAAGCAGAATCGCTGATGATCTTTAGGCGCAAGAACGTCAGCCAGCGGAGCTCCTGTGCCGCCATGGCACCGGCGTAGATCTCAGCTTTACAGCTAGACTAGGCAACAGATGAGAAGCGAGTGGACCTCCACGAAATGGCATCCAAACCAAGGCTAAAGCAGTAACCCTGGGAGGACCTAAGGGTCTCAGCGTCGTCTGCCCAAGAAGCGTCTGAGTGCCCAGTAAAAACCTCCGGCCAGCGTCTTCCTAGCACTAGCCTCATGCCCGATGTACTCGTTAGATAACGCAAAACCTTCTTAGCGGCTGACTAGTGCTGTGGTCGGTGTCTGCCGGTAGCCACAAAGCGAGCCGGGATGCTGAGAGGGTATGCGAGACCTAGACGAGTGCAAATGATCACGTACATGAGGAAACCCACCAGTTCTGCGTAAGGACCACTGGGCTCTACTTACTCCTCAGGAACTGGATCCAAGAGCCTGTGGTCTACTGGTAGAGGTTTGGGCTGTGCGGAGGAGAACTGAAGACCGAACCTCTGAAGGACAAGGTGCACCAAATGTGACTGTGTGAGAGTGATGGTGTGCGCTGCTCTGTCCCTGGATATCTCCAGGCCAAGGTAGCGGCGCAGCTCTCCTAGGTCAGTGCAGGTGTGTCTCTTTAGCAGCTCGGCCTTTACAGAGGCCAACGCGTCTCTGTCTGACAAGGATGTAGGACGGAGTCTGGCCAACACGAACGAAGAGCGAAGGGTCTGCTGAGGACGGAAAGAACTGCAGGTTAGCTAGCGTAGCACGTAGCGTGTCGTCAAAGGGCTCCTGCCGCAGGCCGTAGACCGTGCGTCGGAGGAGCCGCTGGGTCCTAGGAGGGAAGGTACCGGTGAAGCCCTGTAGTCGGCGCAGGTAGACCTGCTCGTGTAGGCTGTCCTGAAGAAAAGCAGTGGAGAAGTCTAGGGAGTGGAGCTTGTAGTCACGCTGTGCTGCTACATGTAGTAGCACCCGAAGAGTAGTCATCTTCGGGGTCGGGGCGAAGTCCATTCCCTCTCGCTGACTGAAGCCTCTAGCCACGTAGCGCGCCTTGAAGACAGGCGGCTATCTAGGGGGGCGCTTCAGCTTGAAGAGCCACCGGCCATCGACTACGTAGGTGCTGCGTCGACGTAGGTGCCAGTGGATCTCCAAGATGCCATCTCCTACTCCATGCAAGCTCTCCACTGAGAGGCCCATGGTCCCGAGGTCACGTCAGCAAAAGTGCGAGGGGTCGAGAAGTTAAAGGCGTCTGGGTCACCCTCAGGGACTAGCAGCATGGAACATAGATGGGGAGCAGCCTCGGACAGGAGCAAGCTCGTACTGCCTATCCTCTAGAACGTCACTACCAAGGGCAGGAGCACCCCCCACGGACGGAGGTCGGACAGAGTCAGAGACCAGAGCGGTGGCATAGTCAAGGCGGCGGATAGAGGCGAAGTCAGTGACAGCAGCGACAAGAGCGTTAAGACTGGAGACAGGAACAGACGGGTCGTTAACGAGGGAGGCAAGGACCCGAGGAACAAGAGGATGAGCAGCACGAAGGTAGTCAAACAGAGGGGGAGGCGCGACAGCGAGCGACGATGGAAGAGGGGAAGGCAGGAGGGGAGGACGAGACGCGTGGGAATGAAGCAACATAGGGTGAGAACGCGGAACAGGAGAGACAGGACGAGCCCGAGAGGGACAGCGAGACCAGACGTGAGATGGAGGCCTCGGGTCAGGAGACAAAGGAGGAGTAATAGGAGGGGAACGTGGTGGCAGGACTCTCCGGAATAGGGACCGGGCACGCGAGGAGCCTGAGGGCGCGCAAAGGGCCGAGGCGCACGAGGGGCCGGCCAGGCGCGCGAGAGGTCGGGCAGGTGCGGGGAAGGGGGGGCCGGCGCATAGAGTGGAGCCGGCAAGGTGCGTGGAGCTGGCGGTGTGGAGGTGGGGCGGACGAGGCAGGAGGGGCCAGCTAGGCGGTAGAGGGATCGGCGGCGGAGCGAGAAGGGACCGGCGAAGCTCGAAGGGCCGGCTAGGCACGAGGGGTCGGCTGGGCGTGAGGGGCCGGCTAGGGTGCGAGGGGCTAGCTGGGCGCGCAGGGTCGGCTGGGCGCGAGGAGCAGGCTGGGCGCGAAGGGCCGGCTGGGCGCAAGGGGTCGGCGACGGCGCGAGGTGCCGGCTAGGGCGCGAGGGGCTGGCTAGGCGCGAAGGGGCCGGCTACGGCGCGAGGGGCCGCCTAAGCACGAAGGAGCTGACTAGGCGCGAAGGGCCTGCTATGGCGCGAGAGGGGCCGGGTGGGTGCGATAGGGGTCGGCTAGGCGTGGTAGGCTAGGGTGCGGAGCGGAAGCGGGTGGGTGGACCTAACCTACTCATGATACCATGTTAGAATACTAGAATGAATAGAAACAAGAGAGAACAAGCAAGATATAGAGTTGGGTTATACTCTCTAAGAACATACACATATTTTAGCCTATAACCTCTATATGCAAATATATGTATAAGTTGATAGGTAGTGCTACTGCAATTTTCTAAGACTGCTCCCCTTCAAGAGGGGCTGACTTGAAGCCCCACCCTCTTGTGAAGTCCGACTAGTAGTCCTCATAGATAGCTGGATGGATGGAACATTCATACATTAGAGTGGTACAATCAAGTGTAGAGTGTCAAACGTATATGTATATGTTACTATAGGCTAGATAGGTGCGTACTCTTAGAGAGTACAACCCCATGGCACAAAACCACCATGTTTCTCTCATTCTAGTCAATAAGTTACCCTGAGATTGTATCACGCAAGGTTAGTATCAAAGTTAGAATAAATTACTAGAATGAGGCAAACAAGATGGTTTTGTCTAAGGGGTTGTTGGTACAAAAGCTAGCTAGGAAAAGAAAGCCATGGAATGACGAGAGGTTTTAGAAAGAGGAAAAATATCGAGAGAGAAGAGAGTGAGATTAGAAGAGAGGGATACAAAAAGGGGGGTTGTACCCTCTACAGTAAAATCTAGTAACACCTACTAAGTCTACCATTATATATACGTGTAACAGCGCCCGAAGAGTAGTCATCTTTAGGGTTGGGGCGAAGGTCTGAAAGAAGTCAACACTCTCGCACTGACTGAAGCCTCTAGCAATGTAGCGCGCCTTGAACAACGACGGCTCTCCAAGAGGGCACTTCACCTTGAAGAGCCACTAGCCATCGACTACGTTCACCCAGGTGGGGGAACTGTGTCGACGTAGGTGCCGGTGGATCTCCAAGATGCCATCTCCGTGTCCATGGCAGCTATCCACTGAGAGGCCCAGAGTCCAGAGGTCGCCTCAGCGTAAATGCGAGGGGTCAGGATGTCAAATGCGTGTGGGTCACCCTCAGGGACTAGCAGCATGGAGCACAGATGAGGCGGTCCTCCAGGACGTCATTGCCAAGGGCAGGAGGACCCCCGACGGACGGAGGACGGGCAGATTAAAGACTAGAGCGGTGGCGTAGTCAAGGTGGCGGGGAGAGGCGAAGTCAGCGACGGCAGCGACAAGCACGTCAAGACTCGAGACAGGAACAGACGGGTCGCTAACGAGGGAGGCAAGGACTCGAGGAAAAAGAGGACTAGTGGCACGAAGGAAGTCAGAAAGAGGAGGCGGAGTGACAACAATCGACGATGGAGGAGGCAACGGGAGGAGAAGAGGACGAGATGCATGGCCCCGGTCCTGTACGCTGACAACAAGTCCATGATCCTCCTGTGTCAGGAGCCTCGATTGGAGGGCAGAGCAAAGCACATCCAGCTGCGGTACTTCCTCCTGCGCCAGCTATAGCAGTGCCGCCAGGCCCGCGTATTACTCTTGGGCTCTGGTGCCAACACAGCTGATATCTTTACGAAGGCGGCGCTTGCGCTTAAAGATCATCAGCGACACTAAGTACACCTTAGTCTAGTTTCTGTAGCTTCTCACTTGCTAGGGCCCTGGTGTATACTTCCACTTATATTATCTTGACTGGCCTTGTGGCTCTTGTTCTAGTGGCAGGACTAGTAGTTATCAAACTGAAAGAATGACTAGAATGTGAGAGTACGAGGCATTATGACCTAGAGGGCTGTACTCTCTAAGGCACAACCCCATATGGTCTACAACATCACATACAAATGTGTTTGACACACCCCCTAGACTGGATAGGGGCAGTGTCTGTTGAGAGACAAAAAGCCAAGGGTGGCACAACTAGTCCAACCTCTGAGGCAAGGGTCTAAAGACCAGTCAAACAAGTACAAACAAAGGCAAGAGCAAGACCAGGGTGGCACTACTAGTCCAGCCACTGGGAGAGGCCACAAGGCCAGTCAGGGTAAAATATATATACAGGTCT